TCCCTGACCAGAGTCCAAGCGTGTCCCTCCTCCCGTGTCTCCGAAACCCCGCGGGCCTCCAACAGCTCCTAAACCGGGCAAAGCTGCAGCGTCTCCAGTCACGGTGAGCTCGAGCCCCACGGCCACGAGCCCAGCTGCAGCCGGCCCCACCGCAGCCCCCAAACTCTCCTCTCCCATCTCTGCCGCCCCGCTCCCAGCTCCCGACACCCCGTCCGGCCCGTGTCTGTCTCCTGGACTCCCTCCTGCCTCCCCGTCTCCGGCACAGAGCCCCTCCACTCCGTCTCCTCACCCCATCAAACCGCCGCGCTCCTCCATCGCCGGGCTCTCCATCGACCTGCTGGGAGGACGGGAGGTGGAGGAGGAGGAGGAGGAGGAGGACAGGAGGCGAGCGGAAGACGGGAAAGCGAGGGAGGCGGAGAGGTGGTCTTTAGGTAGGGAAGGAGCGACAGAGGAGGCGGAGAGTGGAGAGGAGGAAGCAAAAGAAGAGCACATTCAGCATCGTTTGGAGGAGACCAGCGCCTCCTTGGCTGCAGCTCTGCAGGCTGTGGAGCACAAAATAAAGGAGGAGGACAAGCCCAATGAGTGAGTATGAAGGAAAGCTGCAGACTTCACCACTCAAGAGTAAATATTAAATAAAACCACTGAAGTGTTAGCATACGAAATAAGAAAAAACTAAATATTTGGACCTTTTTTTTAAATGTCAAACTAACTTCAAAAATGTAGTGGTGGCAGAAAAACCCGCCACAAATGGGATTTACAGTTTTTTAACCTAGTTTTGAAAAGTTTGAATTTGGGTTTTAGTATTTTTAACTCTTGTCTAATAAAGTTAGGTAAAATACTTTCCACGTTCCTTTCTGCGTAGAAAAAGAAGACCCCGCGTGTCCTTCCAATAAACACAGCCTACCTGTAAATATGAAATGCTGTGAAGATGACTTACGAAATGACTTTATCCACATTTAAAAACATGCGATTTAACTGCAGATCATTTTCAAAATTTCAGTATGAACATCATGTACAGAAAAGTAATCAAATTGTGTGGTAAAATTAATAAATTAAAGGAAAATGTTCAGTACTTGTTTTGTCTTTTGTAGAAATCTTTCATGACGTCCACCTTCATGGGAATGATAGGATGTTAATCAGAAAGAAACACTTTAATAAATTTAAAAAAAAACAACAGAAAATTATCTTCAAATCCAGGCTAATGAGGGTCGGGCAATTTTGAGAATTAAATTAAAATTAAACTAAAATTAAAATTTGTGCAATAGAATGTTAGTAGCCACTGAACTCTGATCCAAAACCGCACAGCATTCTGGGGGATGTAGGCATTGGAAAGGCATTAGCCAGTCGACCTCTCACAGCTCAGCTAAAGGCCCTGTCACACTACACAACTTCTGCCAACTTGTGAACATTTTAAAAACATCTACATTGAAGATGAATTGAAAAGAAAATCAATGGGAAGCTTTCTTTTTTTTGATGTGTACACAAT